CCAGATATTTCTGGAGCAACTCAGCAGGTCTGGCAGGATCTGGGGAGAGAGAAAGCAGAGTTAAACGTTTTTTTAAGTCCAGTGACCCATCTGCTGAGGGTCTTCCTGCTATAGGCAAGTGGACTGTACTCGGCCTGAGCTGCCAAGAGATGCAGGGTCCCTGGTAGGATCAACGTGGAGGGCCCAGCAAGCTCTGTCATGTCCTGAGAGGAGACATATATCTCTTGCCGAATAAAACTGTGTCTATCTCAGATTTAAGTGTAACAACCAAATTAGCATCAACTGCCATTTGAGGAATAGAGTTCCAAACCTCCACTAGTCTTTATATGTTGGAAGTGTTTTTTAACATCTCTCCTTAATGGCGTGGCCCTAATTCTTAGACTATGACCTCTGGTTCTAGAATCTTCAACCAGTGGAAATGGTTTATCTTTATCTATTGTCTTTTCCTGTTAATACTCTAAAAACCTCGATTAGATCACTCTTACCCTTCTAAATTCTAGAGAATAAAGACTTAATTTGTGTAATCTCTCATAATAACCTAACCCTTGAAGTCCATATATCATCCTTATAAACCTATGTTGAACTCCCTTCAGAGTCAAAACACCCTTCCTAATGTGTGGTGCCCACATTTGCTAACAGTACTTCGAGTGGGTTCTGACTAGGGTATTGTATTCCTGCAGCATAACGTTTGTATCCCTATACTCTAGCCCTTTAGAGAATTCCATTAGGCTTCTGGACTATCTTCTGCAGCTGCCCATGGCATTTTAAAGAGCTATGCTCCTAAATACCCAAAACTCGCTGGACATCCACTGTATTTAACTCTGTGCCTTCTAAAAAATACCCTGATCTATCTTTTTTGGTCTTAAATAAATAACCTCACACTTGTTTATATTAAAATCCATCTGCCATAGCTTTGCCCAATCACCTAATCTATCAATGTCCCGTTGTAATTTTATGCTGCCGTTCAACACTGTAGACAATGTTGCTGAATGGTGTTATGAGCCAATTTGAATATTTGACTTTTTAAGCCATTATCCAAGTTGTTGATGAATAACCGAGGCCCCGATACAGATCTCTGTGGGACTCCAGCCACATCCTGCCAATGTGATTACTTAACACGCACCATTCCAACTCTGTTTCCTATCACTCAACCAATTTCCGATCTATGTCTGTCATTTGCCCTCAACTCTGTGGTCTTCCAAAAAACTGGAAGAACTGAGGGTGCAGGAAATCAGAAACAAAAACAAATTACTGGAGAGACTCAGCAAATCTGGCAGCATGTGTGAAGAGAAATCAGAGTTAATGCTTCCAACCCAGTTACCCTTCCTCAGAATTGATAGTAGCTAGGAAAATGTTGATTATATATGCTGACGTTAGGATGTGGGGAAGTGGGTAAGGAGTAAACGATAGATACAGATGGAGCCCAAAGAGAGAGAGAAACAGTTGGACAGACAAAGGAGTGAATAATGGTTAACCTAGGAGAATGAATAGGTCTATTAGCAGCTGATAATGGGTTGTATGTGAAAGCAGCACATGCGATGACAAGGCCTGGTGTATGGGGACTGGGGTAAGGACACGGGAGAAGGTGTCTGAAGCCCTAAAATTGTTGAACTGTATATTGAGTCCTGAAGGCTGCAGTGTCCCCAAGTGGAAAATGAGGTGCTGTTCTTCCAGCTTGCGCTGAGCTTCACTGGAGCATTGCAGCAAGCCTGAGACAGAGGATGTTGGCCAGGGAACAGGGTGGTGTGTTGAAGTGGCAGGCAACTGGAAGCTCAGGGTAAAAATGACCCAGAGGTAGGTCAGAGAGTAAGACAGGTGGGGGCATTGTATGATTGATAAAGGAAACCATTGCTGCAGTAATGAGGGAGAATAGCTTAGAAGGGTCTTCAAATGAGGCCATACAGGTAGAGCTTAGAGGTAAAAATGGGGAATTACTTTGCTGGGGTTATACTACAGGCTTCCCAACAGTCAGAGTGAGATAGTACAGCAGACATGTAGGCAAATCACAACAGAGCTGTGAGGGGAATAGGGTTATTGTTGTAGGGGATTTCAACTTTGCTAACATTGACTGGGATTGACTTCATATGAGAGGAGCAGAGGGGATGGAATTTTTAAACTGTGTGCTGGAGAGGTTTTTGTGCCAGTTTGCATATAGTCCTAATGGAGATGGAGCAGTGCTAGACCAAATCCTGGGAAATTAAGCTGGTCAAGTGGTTTAAGTTCCAATGGTGAGCATTTTGGCAATAGTGACGACAACTCTAAGTTTCACAAGTCCTTATGGAAAGGGACAAGGATAGTGCAGAAGTTAGGTGTCTAAACTGGAGAAGAACAATGTCAATATCATTAGACAAGCCTTGGCAAACATAGACTGAGAGCAGCTACTTGCAGGTAAGTCTACATTGGAAAGTAGGAGCTTTTTTCAAAGTGATATAGTGAGAATTCAGGACCAGCATGCTGTTCTTTATTCAATAACAGGATGAGGGGGTCACTGGCTAGGCAGCATTTATTGCCCATTCCTAATTGCCCAGAGGACAGTTCAGAGTCAACCACTTTGCTGTGGATGTCAGTTTCCTTCCCTGAAGACGTTTGTGATTCTGATGGGTTTTTTTGACAAGCAGCAATGGATTCATGGTCATTATTAGATTGTTAATTCTAATTAATTAGAAATCTACCATGGTGGGATTTGAACCCGGGTCCTCAAGATGTTATCTGGGTCTCTGGATTAACAGTCCACCGATAATACCACTAGGCCATCGCCTCCCCTATACTTGTTCATCTAATATTGGAGAACAAGGGCAGCAAGTCCAGGGAATGTCAAGGGATATCGAGAGTGTGACAAAGAGAAAGAAGGACGAATGGAAGATGGAAGAAGGTCAGGTACAGTGCATTAAAAGCAGGGGAGGGTCTTCAAAAATATAGAGAGTGTAGAAGGTTGCATGAAACCAAATCAGGACAGCAAAGAGGGACCATGAAATATCTTTGGCAGATGGGATCAAGAAAAACCCGAAGGCATTCTTATAAGTATGTCAAGAGAATTACCAGGGAACGGGTGGGGCCTAGTAGAGATCAAAGGGGCAATCTGTGTGTGGAGCCAACGGATGTGGGTGAGGTCTTACAAGAATATTGCTCATCTGTATTCACTGAAGAAAGAAACATTTCAGCTAAAGATTCCAGTTTGATGTTTGATCAGTCATAATGGTGCATAAATCCCCAGGGCCTGATGAGATGGATCCCAGGCTGCTTTGGGAGGCAAGAGAGGAGATTGCTGGAATCCTGACGGATGTATTTAATACCTTGCTGGCTACAGGTCAAGTGTCAGATGACTGGAAGATAACTAATGTGGTTCCTTTGTTCAAGAAGGGCAGCAGGGATAGGGCAGACCAGTCAGTCTGACATCAGTGCTTGGGAAATTATTAGAAAATGTTCTGAAGGACAGAATTAATCAATACTTCGAAAGGCAAGGATTGATGAGGAATAGTCAGCATGGACCCTGTCTGACAAATTTAATTGGGCTTTTTTATAAAGGTGACTGACTACATTAATGGTGGTAGCACAGTTCATGTGGTTTACATGGACTTCAGTAAGGCCTTTGACAAGGTCCCACATGGAACGCTGGTCCAAAAGGTGAGAGCCCATTAGATCCAAGGAAAGTTGGTAAACTGGATCCAAAACTGGCTTACAAATAGGAGGCAAAGGGTGATGGTGGATGGTTGTTTATATGATTGGAAGCCTGTGACCAGCAGTGTACCACAGGGATCAGTGCTGGGACCCTGGCTGTGTGTTACATACATTAACAACTTGGACGTGAATGTTGAAGATACAATTAGTAACTTTGAAGATGACATGAAAATCAATGGTGCTGTTGACAGTCAGGAGGACTATGGTCTGATGTTGATCAGCTGATAAATTGGGCAGAGCAATGGCAGATGGAATTTAATCCATATAAGCGTGAGGTGATGCCCTTTGGGAGATCTATTAAGGGAAGAATTTACACAATGAACATTAGGTCCCTGGGAGTACTGAGGAACAAAGGAAACTTTTGGTGTGAAAGTCCATAGATCCCCGAAGGTGTCAGTGCAGGTAGACAGAGTAGTGAATAAGGCACAAAGGATGCTTGCCTTCATTAGCCAGAACGTAGAATATAGGAGCAAGGAAGTCTTGTTACAACTTTCTAAAACATTGGTTAGAGTGCTGGATGGAATATTGTGTGCAGTTCTGGTTGCCACACTATTGGAAGGATGTGATTGCTCTGGCATGGGTGCAGAGGAGATTCACCAAGATTTTGCCTGGGATGAAAAGTCTCAGTTGTAAGGAGAGACTGGATAGGCTGGTTTTGTTTTGCCTGGAGCGGAAGAGGCTGAAGGGGATCTGATTGGGGTATACCAAATTATGAGAGGCATAGATAGGGCAGATCGTGAGAATCCTTTCCAGATCGTAGACATGTCTCAAACCGGAGGGCATAAGTTTAAGCTGAAGAACAATGGTTTAGTGGAGATCTGAGGAATTTTTTTTTTCACCCAGCGGGTGTAGAAATTTGGAACACGCTACCTGAGAGGTGGTGAAAGCAAGTACTCTCACAACATTTAAGAACCACCTGGATGAGTAATTAAAATGTCAAGGCATAGGCTATGGACCACGTGCAGGGAAATGGGATTAGTGTAGCTTAGTGCCTGTTGGCCAGCATAGACATGGTGGGCCAAAGGGCCTGTTTCTAAGCTCTATAACTCAATGACAATGACTTAATCATCACTTTTTTTTAAAACGATTCTTTTCCCATTTCAGTCCAGAATTAAAACATACAGAAAAATAAAAAAAGACATGGTCTTTGCAATTGAGAGGAGGAAAATTTATTTCATCCAAAAAAGTGTTGTTAATCAAAAGCCACAGGCTCAATGATTGGCTTGTAGAGACATTGCTTTGTTCAGCCAATCAAAAGCCCTTGCAGTTAACTAATTGATTATATAGACAGCCTGCAGCTATAGGCCCTTTTTGTACTCTAGTTTTTGCAATGGCTCCTAAAAGACTATCAGCAGTCACAAAGGTGACGGTTTCCACCACAGTTGGAGACAGGATTGTAGCATTAAAGAGTCGACGACAGTCTCTACAAGGTAGGGGCAGAAAGGGCTGTTTCAAATGTCCTCCTGTTGCCCAGGCTGGTTGTTGGGTGGATTAAGGCCATAGCTGCAGGCTATCACCATTCTCCCAGCTTCAGCCTAAAGCCCCTGAGGAGGAGCTTCTTGAGAGCAGTGGAATCCTTTACTGCTGGTTTGGTGGGGGGGAGGGGGAAGAGAGTGAGAAGGGGATATTAAGCATATTCAAGGCTGAAGAGGGCAATGGGCTAAAGGCAGGTGAGTGGTGTTTAGGATTCATGGATTTAATTACTTCCCTGACACTCAATGGTGGAGTAGAATTGATGGGCTGAATGGCCTACATTTATTCCAATGGCTTGTGGTCCCTCCCATTAATCTAAGTATTCCTGCACGTGGTCCTTGCTTCCTAATAGTGACTGACTTGTTTAATGTGTTGATTCTGAACTTCAGTTGGGCTAATAGCTAGTTAAGAATTCAACTTACTCCTGTGAGTAGTTGAATTCTCTCTAATCTGGTGTTTGTTGTGCTGCTGCTTACTGTTTTAAGGGCTAGGAGATATGCCTGTGTAATGCCTAGCCTACTTGTAGTGGCATAAGGCAGGTAAAATACCTCTTTCAAGTACTCTCTCTCCCAGTATAATGCTCATGTGGGAGTAATCGCTGCCTTCTGCCAACCAGCCCACTTGGTTAAACTTCCCAGCTGTAATTTTAATCAATGAACCTGTCTTGTTAGTCCATCCAATCCCTTCTGTTGTAAAATCTTTCTTCTAATTGGGTGACCTTGAACTCCTGGACCAGAGGTGGTGATACTACCACAGTACCATAGTCTCTTCCGCCCCCCCCCCCCCTCCCCCCCCACTCTCATATTAACTAGCCAACTCTCCTTCACCTCTTCCCATATAACACAATTGAGCCAGTTAATGCATTCTGTATTAAAAAACATTCTCTAACAATGGAATGTGTTGCAGCCTGTGTTTCAGTTATTGCTACATTCAAACACCACTTTGAATTAAAACTGAGAACTGTGGATGCTGTAAATTGGGAACAAAAACAGAAGTTGTTGGAAAAGCTCAGCAGGTCTGGCAGCACCTGTGGGGTGGCGGGGGGAGATCAATGTTCCAAATCTAGTGATTCTTCCTCAGAAAATCCTCTGTTCACTGACTTTTTTCTTTAGACCTGCCAAGCTTTTCCAGCAACTTCTGTTTTTAAACTCCACCTTGAATCCTTGCATTTCAATCTCAAACTGAAATTCCCTAATTTTGGTGGCATTAAATATTTGTTTGAGGGCATTTCAGTGGCTGTTTTGTATTTATTACTCTCTAAAAGCAATGTCAATAACCATGTATTAAAGTGGAGGCCTCTAATTCTCTTCTGGATGTAGCTCACTATTCGGTGTTTATTTTAGGTGTGAGAGCCAGTACGCTGATAATTTACAAACGTCCTCCTGTGATCAAAATGGTGGTAAATGCCTTGAAGAAAAGCAAAGATCGGAAAGGTACAACAGTTGCAGCAATAAGGAATTACATTCTGACAACATATCCCACAGTGAACCCTGTCTACTTGAAGACCAGTCTTAAGAAAGCCTTAGCTATTGGCCTGGAGAAGGGTATTTTGGTTCGACCTGCAAACTCCAAAGCAACTGGTGCCACAGGAAGATTCAAAGTAGGCAAATTTTTCATCTGGTATCTCCCTCTGTTTGTAAAACGCTATAGTCTAAATGTTTGCTGGATTCCTAATTCAAACCAAGTGGGATAACTGGTGCTTGGCTACTAGCAATTGGGTGTTAGGGGAGGGGGTGGGGTGTCTCACTTGTTTTACTCACCATGTTCCAAAGCTGCCTTTTCTTTCAGTCAGCAATGTTCAGTTTGCTAGCAGTGACCCTTAACTTTTTAACAAATTGCAAGTGTTTTTACCTCTTACAAGAGGTTCTGATGACCACTGAAGGAAAACCTCTAGTTCTGCACCTCCCCCACCCCCAAAACATGAAGTCATTGTTATGTGCAAGCTATTCTTCTGATAAGTTTGTACCTGTCTTAATGGACACTATTCATTCCCTTAGGCATTTTAATCAACCTGTTTAAACATCACTATTCAGCCCTTGAGAATGAGACTTGAAATTAGGTGTTAAGGGTTTGCAATATCTTAATCATCCTGTAATGCATTAATTCTGTAGGTCTCTTCTTCTCCAGGACACTCTTGCAAAGTGTCAGCAATTGCACTAAAGTTCATTCCCCCATCCTAATGTGCACAATGTTCAGCTCATGTCAGCTGCTTATCTAGTTCTGTGCCCCAAAACTCCTTCCTTGAGGAGGCAGAGACCCTGTTGCTGAGCTTCAGGATAAGCTGGGACTTTTTCCTCTTGGATTGTAGGAGTGTGAGGGGTGACCTCAGAACTTTAAAATCATGAGGCATAGATCTAGTAGATAGCTAACAGCCCTCCCCATGGTAGGGGAGTGTAAAACTAGAGGGTATAAGTTTAAGGTAAGAGGGGAGAGCTCCAAAACAGTCCAGAGGGACAATATTTTCAGAAGGTGAAGGGCCTCAAACAGGCTACCAGAGGAAGTGGTGGAAGGAAGTACAAGTTTTCATTTGAGAAACACTTGGACAGGTACATGGATGGGATAGTTCTGGAGGGATATATCCTCCATGCAGGCAAATAGGACTAGGAAGTTTTCATAATTGAACTAATGTGGCCAAGGGTCTGGTTCCATGCTGTGAATCTAATTGATTGTATGGTGTTGTCTACTTCCATCTGTTTTGGAATGTGGTGTACCTTGAGGTGGGATTTGAATCTGAACTTGGCAGAAGGGACACTATGGTCACAAGACCTTTTTGGTGCAACATTCAATCACTAATGAAATACAAGCTTCCAGTTTTGGAACACCACAAATAAGTGAGAATAGAAGTCTGGTCTTACAGTCTAGCAGCTGTCAATGGTCTGTTCCAAAACTGCTCTTTCCCCCTCTACTTGATCCCCATACTTGTGAAAGGGAGAAGAATAACTTTAATGGACTTTAGTAAACTTGTCAGTTATTTGGTTCTACACTTAAACACTGTAGCAATTAAATTCCAACTTTTAGATATAGCACTAACAATTGAGTTTCCCTCCAATGGAGTATCCTGCTGTTCCACCATCTCAATCACTCAGTTGCACAGAACTGCTGGACAGTGTCCACTTAAAATCTCAACACAATTTGCTCATCACAGCAATTAGTAACTAAATCTCTTGGCCCTAGCTGCAGTGGGTCTGTCAGCACTCACCCAAATTAACAGTTGATCTATTGCTCAATTTTCACTTTCTGGAACACTTAAATTGTGAAGTTTTTGATAGAACCCTGGTGATACTAAAGATTAGTCAATGTTTAGAAACAGCTAAACTTTAACTGGGGAAGAATTAATATGGGCCTCCAGAGACTTAATTCCAACTTTGAATCCACACTTTGTGTAAAGTTTGACACTAATTTGAAGCTGCCTGTGATGGTTCTCACTGCTCCTATCTCCAGCTTGCAAGTAAAAGTGACCTGAAGAGAAACAATGAAAATGTGGATCCAAACAGTGGCTCGGTCAAAATGACAGCTACAAAAGTGAAGGCCAAGGTGAAGAAAACGGAGGCTGATAAAAAAGCAGGTAGTCCATTCCATCTTGTGGATTAACTTGATGCCAGGGTTCTCTCCTCAGGCTAGATCTAATTGTTGTGAATAGTTGTACCTTTGGGCATGTGTTCATGCAGCTTACAGCAACATGGACAAACCCAACCTTGTGGCAGATTTTTCTTCACACTGAGCTTTTCGTTCACGTCACTGCAATCCACTGACTTGGGCAAATGTTGATCTATCCATAGGTGCTGTGAGTTAATTACTGACTAAGTTTCTTATTTCACTTAGTGCAGATGACCACTACAGTCTGCCTTTCTCCAGTGTGGAAATAGAGAAAAAAGAAACCCAGGATTTATACTAGAATAACCTAAATTGTGCCTTAATCTTCCAATCGCTTTGAAAGTGCTATTTTCCACTCCTTAACAAAATTTTCCCATTTTAAAAATCTACATTTGCATCCAATTAGAGGATATTATCTTTGGTCTTAACTTCATAAACTTGCACCCAGTTAAGGGGAGATTCAACTTTTGGGTGGTATGGTGGCTGTGGTTAGCACTGCTGCCTCAGTGCCAGGGACCTGGGTTTGATTCCACCCTTGGGTGTCTGTCTGTGTGGAGTTTGAACATTCTCCCCATGTCTGTGGGTTTCCTCACATGGTCCAAAGATGTACAAGGTAGATGAATTGGCCATGCTAAATTGTCCATAGTGTTCAGGGATGTATGGATTAGGTGGGTTAGACATGGGAAATTAAGGGAATGGGTCTGGGTGGGATGGTCCTTAGAGGGTGGGGTGGACTTGTTGGGCTGAATGGCCTGTTTCCACACTAGGGATTCTGATTCTTGTCTCTAAATCTCCCTCCAGCTTCCTATTCCTGGTGAATGTGCACTAAACACCATTCTAATTTTCTCAGCTCACTAAATTTGAGAATACTAGCTCATGTAAAATTCACTAATCGCACCTCAGTAAGAATCCTAATATCCTAATATTTGAGTACCTGGAAATAAACAGTAGGGCAGGAAATAACTACCTGGAATTGCTTATTTTCAAACTGATATTAAATTAGTTGTGATCTTCTCTCCTTCCCTCGTACCATACTCCATATGGTTGTGGTGTAATATATTGTCTAGTTTGACCTCCATTTCTAACCCTTGAGTGGCCTTCACCTCTAATGATAACCAGTTGTATTGAATTTGGATTTAGATTAAGTGCCTGATCTTCAATTCTGGGATTACATCATTCTAATTCTACTGCATTACATACACTCAAGGATTGCTCTGAGCCCTTGGCTACTTAACTAAAGACTCTTTGAAATGTGGTCAATTGGTTTGTGTGACATGAGACCTTCCCAAACCACAAGCCTCTGCCCCTCAGTATGGGCACTTAAACAGAAAACCACTCTCTAGTTTATTCTGAATGCAGCTAATTGGTGCAATCTACAAACATTGGTTAGCTGTGCTGTCAGTGAGTTGAAGCCTCAGACTCTGAAAACATGAGAGTTTTAGGCCCTTTGTACCTGCTTTAATGCTCTATATGATCATGGCTGATCATCCAGCTCTGCACCTTGCTCCCACTCTTCTCCATTCTCATTGATTACATCTTACCCCTAAGAACTAGATCTAAACACAAATATTCAATGCTTTGACCTCTGCCACTTAGAGTGAATTCCACAGGCTCGCCACAATGAAGAGATTGAGCAATCTGATATGATCCTTAACCTGACCCCTGGTTCCAGACTCCCCAGTCATCAGGAAGATCCTTCCTACATCTCAAACCACAAGAACTGCAGATGCTGTAAATCAGGAACAAAAATAGAAACTGCTGGAAAAGCTCAGCAGGTCTGGCAGCATCTGAAGAAAAAAGTTAACACTGTTCTGAGGAAGGGTCACAGGACCAAAACATTGACAGATTTTTTTCTTCAATGTCTTGGGTCCAGTGACCTTAGAACTGAGTTAACACTTCTTTTCTTCACAGATGCTGCCAGACCTGCTGAGCTTTTCCAGAAGCTTTGTTTTCCTTCCTACATCTAAACTGTCTAATCCTGTTAGAATTTATAGGCTTGATCATCCCCTGACTCCTTAACCCTAGTAAATGTTTTAATCTTGCAGATACAAAGTCCAAAACACAATCTGCACATACTTCCAAAGGCAAAGGAGAGAAGTCTGGGAAGGTGAGTTTTGATGTCAATTCTGTTCTTCAACTAGTGCTAAATCAGATTTATGGCTTTGTGCTCTTCCCTGGAACCCCTTCTCAGACTTGTGGTAAGATCAGTGGCTCCTGCTTCATAACCCCATTAGTCCCTTAGTACAAAATTCTCTAGTCCCAGTTTACTGAGGTGAATGAAGATGTAGAATCCCTACTTTGGGAAAGGGATATAAAACATGCTTCTGGCTAGCATTTCTGCCATCCAGTGGTAGGGACCCAGGTTTGATTCCAACCTTGGGTGTCTGTATGGAGTTTGCACATTCTAACCATATCTGTGGGTTTTCTCCAGGTACTCCAATTTCTTCCTGCAATCCAATGATGTGCAGGTTAGCAGCAAATTACTGCAGATGCTAGAATCTGTATTGAGAACAAATGCTGGCAATCACAACTGGTCAGGCAGCATCTGTGGAGAGAGCAAACTAATGTTTAGGCTAAACTGCCCTGTAGTGTGCAGAGTAGGTGGGCTAACTCTGGGGTTACAAAGATGGGGTGGGATAGTCTTGAGGATTGGTACAGATTTGATGGGACAAATGATCTGTATCTGCACTGATTCTGGTTTAGGAAACTGTCCTTTTTAATAAAAATTAAGACTAATCCCTTCAAGTAGGTATCTTGTTCAGGTTATAACAAAACAAGTGACTTGAGGGATGCTTCACTGAAGTTTCCATCACCCCTCTTTCCAGGTTAAGAAGCTGGGACAGTCCTCTCTCCCCAAGCCCAAAGGAAACAATAGCAAAAAGAGCAAGGCTGTAAAAGAGGAACCAGATTCACTTCCTAAAGTGCCATTAAAGAAGGCTTCCAATCTGTTGCCCCAAACTGGAACAGGAATGAAACAAGGCCCAAAGAGCAAAAGTAAGAAGAGAGAACTGAACCAGGCACCATCCTCTTCAGAGGACACTCAACTGCCAGCCCCTAAAACTGGCTCATCTGCTCCAGGGCTGACAGTAAAAGCTGCTGAAGGTCTAAGCAAGAAAGCAGAAAGCAAGACCAAGGACAAAAGCACCAAAAAATGATTGCCCAAAATGCTGGGCTCTACACCATCTCTTGAAACTCCTAGTAACTTATTAAATTTGATTTGATTTGCACTTTTTAAAAATGCATTTTGTAAACTGTTCAATAAAATATAACATTAATATGGAGATCTTTAGATCCAGGTTGTTGCATTTTGACCCTTAAATTGCACTGATTTTGTTGACTGCTGTTTCAGAATCGTGTTTTAATTCCAACGAAGGGTAGTCACTTCAGGGTAGCTTTTCACTTGTTTGTAAATAACATTACATTGTGCACATGTTGTCCCAGGTGCTATATTTAAAATGTGGGAATGGTAAGCCTTCCCAGTATTTTGTTTCCAAGTTGCTAGCCTCTGATCTCTCTCCAATAACACTGGTGTAATTTCCAGCTTTACTGCTTTCCTGGCACTTCCCCAGACAACCACACTGCAAACCTTCAAATTCAGCTAAAAGTTCACATCACATCCTGGTTACAGCAATCTCCAGTGTTTAATATTTGCCTGTCGGGTTAGGAATAGCAACTGTGTAGTTTTATCTAATCACTTCATTATGAATGAAATGTGACAATTGGGTTCTACTTTTGCTTTTGGACTTCTCTCTGACATGGGAGAGAGGTAGGGAATGGTACTAGGGAACCATTTGATTCTCCAAGGTTTTAGATCTCCAGTATTGAATGACTTGAACAGACTATTCATCAAGAAAATGAGGGTAGCATACTTTGAAACTCTAATCCCCTGGTAGTGTTTTTTGATGCAGGAAAGGCCATTTTTCTGGCCAAAACCCTCCAAGTTTCAGCCTGAAATGTTGACTTGCCTGCTCTTGGGATGCTGTCTGACCTGCTGTACTCTTCCAGCCTCACCTGGATTCTGGCTTCCAGCATCTGGTCCTTATTGTCCCCTGTCTTTTTCAGACTGGGGTGTTTCACTTTACATGTAAAGTTCTGTTTGAATGGAGCCAAGTGCTGTTTCCCAACCTTGGTCATGTCTGGGCAATCCTTATCCCAGACTGCTCTAGCAAGCTGTGCTGCTTCAATGGGCCATCTACTGCAGAATGCAAGGAACAGAATGAATGGCTGACGCTTGAGCTCCATCGTATAGTCTGCACTGCAGATGCAGGGGAGGACTGGTGCTCCTTCAGAGGTCCATTCCTTGGGCCTTTGTCCTACAGGTTCTATCATGTGCAACTTGGCTTTAATGGTGGGAGGTCCTTGTTCATTGGACCTGCCAACATGAGTTGGGCTTAAGACACTTGTTCAACCTCTGGAGTATTGTGTACAGTTGTGGGTATCATAGAAAAGGTGTGAATGCACTAGAGCATGCAGAAGTGATTTTTTTTTAAACAACATTCCAGGAATGAGACTGGATGGATTGAAGTTGGAACTCTTATCTCCCCTTGAGAGAAATGAGATTTTCAAAATTCCAAATGGGATGGAGTAGGTTTTGAGGGGGGGGGCTTGCAGGTGAAGATTATTGTCCTGTTCTTGGTGTACAAACAAAGCAAGGGTAATGTGGTTTTTGGAGTAGTTGGAGTGTAGAATGCACTACTGGAAAATGGGGTGGCAATATCAATTGAGATATTCAAGAGGGTATTTTGCAATGAGTGGGCAAGTGCTCAAGGATGTGGGAAGGGAAGGCAGACTCTCTGCAATAGAACCAGTGCTGAATGGCCTCTTCCTGTACATATGCTAACTTCACAATCCCTCTATTGCAGTGCAGAATGTTGACAGTTTTAACATGATTCGGTATTTGATATCTCCAATTATAATGGGAATGTCCTTGGCAGACTGTAGTCTAGTGCGGAGTAGTGAAGTGTAACTTTTCTCCTGAACAAGAACCAATTTAACAGCAGGTTTTGTTCTTGGCATATTATCCTAGTTACTATTGCTGAGTATCCCTACCACCTTGTGTAAGGTGAAAACGCATTCTTTCCCATATCAAACAATGGTATCACACCAAAAGACTAACAATAGGGTACTTGCCTCACTGCAAAATAAGGAGCTAACTAATGCTGCTCCATGTTAAATTGGGGTTCAAGTCCATTGCCCCCATGAAAGTGGCCACAAGTAGATAGGGTGGTAAAGGTATACAGCATGTTTGCCTTTATTGGTACTCCATTCCCTGACCAATCGGGATGTCATGGAGCATTGCATTCAAAGTCTTAAAGCCACAAGTGTAGCCTAAACAATTTTGGTAACATTACAGGAAGGATGTGGAGGCTTTGGAGAGTGTGCAGAAGAGGTTTACCAGGATGCTGCCTAGATTAGAAGGTGTGAACTGTAAGGAGAGGCAAATAACAAGGTTGTTTTGCTCTTGAGCAGCGGAGGCTGAGGATAAGCTTTAAGTCTAAAATTGTATAGAGGTGATGGTCAGAATCTGAGTTGAGATGCCTAATACAAGGGGCATACATTTAAGGTGGGGGGGGGGGAGGCCAAAGATGAGGCAAGTGTTTTGAGTGGTAGGAGTCTGGAACACTGCCAGAGGTGGTGGTTGAGGCAGCTATAAGGGCATTTAAGGGACTCTTCATTTTTCACATAAGCACGTGAACATGCAAGGAATGGAGAGATTGGACTGAGGGCAGGCAGCAGAATTTAGTTTCATTTTGGTGTCATGTTTGGCCCAAATTGGGCTGAATGGCCTTTTCCTTTGCCCCATTCAGTTCTAAATTGTTCACGATATCTCTAATCCCATTGTTAAGCCTTTCCTCAAAGTAACAGCCTGGCCCTCGTGTCGGCTGAGGAAATGGTGAGTGGCTGTTTCAAATGACCCTTGAATAGTGTCAATCTTCTGCCAAGACTGAGGTACTGGACCTTCCCTCCTGGTGGGGTTGGCCATTTCCCTCATTGGATCCTTGCACCTTCTAAAACCCTTTTCCTGTAATGGTGCCCTTTTTTTTTTTTTTAAAAAGCAGTGAATTCATTTCTAACCATTTAGTTAGATATAGTGCTAGCTAGCTCCATGTGTCTCTGCGTTCTATTCCTGCCACTGGAGCATAGCTATCTCTTTGGGCACCCCCACCCACCTTAACCTGCAGAGGGCTGTCACTTCTCTACCTAGGAGTGACTGAGTCCTCAACTCTTTCCACTTTAGATTCTTTCTTCAGCCTTGCATACAGACTTAGGCATTCTAGAATAGATATTGGGCATTGTTCTCACTAACATTAACACTGCCAGTTTAATTATAGCCCCAGCATTGATCCCTGTGTCATGCTTTTCATTGCAGGTTGCATTCCAAATGTACCCTTTATCCCAACAGTCTATTAATTCAGCCAATCTTCTAATTCATGTTTCTATATTGCATCCAAAATGGGAGCAACCATCCAAGTACTACATCCATGTTACTTATCTGTCCTGTTACCATAATTCTAGTAAATCAGTGCGATTGGTACCTTGAAAAACCATGCTGACTCTGCTTGCATTATTAGCTTCTAAAAGCACTGCTATTCCACCTTCCATAATAGACTGGGATTCACCAGCAAAAAACTGGTATTAAACTATAGAAACTCCCCAGGCCCAGCAGCATTTGTGGAGAGAAAGCAGAGTTAATGTTTCACATTGTGACCCTTCCTATCTGATAATAGCTAGGAAAAGGCAGCATATGTTGAAGTGTGGGCCCAAAGGGGAATGGGAAATTTACTGAGCAGTTTGACAGATGTGGGGATAATGGTGAGCCAGGGAGGAGGCCAGTAATAGGGGCTGTGCTAAAGCAGCCAATGTGTTAAGGTGTGGGGGTGTTTGGGTGCCCAAAATGATACAACTCAACATTGAGTTTCAAAAGCTGAAGAATCTCCCAACCCCATGGAAAATGAGGTGCTGTTCTCCCAGTTTGCACTGAACTTTGCTGGAACACTGCAGCAAGCCCCAGATGGACATTGGTGTGGGAACACTGAAGGGGCAAGCAACTGGAAACTTGGTCATTTTTTGTGGACAGAACATGGGTGTTCTGCAAAGGAGCCTCTCAGTCTGTTTCATACCCCTCAACAATGTAGAGGAGACTGCAATGTGAGCAGTGAATAGACTGGATTGAAGTGCAGGTAAATCACACCCTTACCTGAAAGGTGTCTGGAAGCTTGGAAAGTGAGCATCCAGATGCTGCCAGACCTGAATTTCTCCACTAATTTCCTGAAGATGCTGGTAACCAGAACTTTTAAGACAAGTAACTGGCCTATGGTTATCTTTTTGGTCTCCTTTTTCAGAATAAGTGTCATTGGCAGTTTTCCAATCCTCTGGGACACTTCCAGAATCCAATGATTCATCTAAGGTTACTATCCATGCACTGTCTCTGTAGCAACTTTAATATCCTAGGATGTATCCCAAAATGCCCAGGGGAACTTTTCAGTCTTTAGACCCATTTTAGTTTCCCTAAGCTTTCTTCTCTGGTAGTTATTGTATTTATTCCCTCTTCCCCTCCCCCAACCGCCCTTAACATTTAACAACAAAAATTTTCATGTCTTCTGTGCAGACAAAAGTATTTATTCAACACCTCGTTCTTGATTCCCCATTACTTCCCCATTCTCTCTAAGATTCTAGTCTCTTGCCGAGTGTGTAAAGCTGAAGCAGACTAGTGTTTCCTTCAGTAGCAATAACTACAGTAATATATACCTTTGTATACAGGGTGATCATGTCATGATGTCATCCAAGTGTTTTTTAATGGTACACTCCCTGTCTGAGGTTTGTGATGAATTTCCCTTTCAAAAGGAGCTCCTTTCTGAAACTTTTACAAAGATGAATATAGATCTTGTGCTAACAGCACTTGGGCAGTTCAAGGACCATTAAATTGTCATTATGCAGTTAATGAGACTTGGTAGTACAGCTCCTTACGTTGCAGTACACTGGTCTATATCTCTTCTGTAGGTATCAAAGTGCAGATAACACAATTTCTTGCATCAGACTTCACATCCAAGTGATTGAATTACATCAGTTTCTTCTTGTCTTGACTATTGTGCATTATGACATTGTATGATGTAGACTTGACTCTTCATCATGGGTTTGGGGGCTGTTTGCACAAACAATCTTTAACTCTTGTCCTGGTTCACACTGGGCTGTCTGTGTGCAGAGGAATGGTTAGATCTGTCCCCTCCATGGGCCTGCTGGTGAGGGGAAACTTGCTTTGAGTAGATTGTCTTGTACTACC